CGCCCTTCAGGTGTTGGAGGCAGTTCTAAGGTCCCCCCAGAGTCTTCTCTTCCCCAGGCTGAACAACCCCAGTGCCCTCAGCCCATCCTCAGAGCAGAGATGCTCCAGCCCCTGGACCATCTTTGTGGCCTCCTCTGGACTCGTTCCAGCAGATCTCTGTCCCTTTGCTGGTGGGGACACCAGACCTGGACGCAGTATTGGAGGTGGGGTCTCAGAAGAGCAGAGCCAAGGGGCAGAATCACCTCTCTTGCCCTGCTGCCCACCCCCCTCTCGATGCCCCCAGGGTGCAGTTGGCCTTTGGGCTGGATGAGCGCACGGCCGGCTCCTGTTGAGCTTCTCGTCCACCAACACCCCCAAGTCCTTCTCTCTGGGGCTGCTCCCAACCAGCCCTGGACCCAGTTTGTAATTGGGCCTGGGACAATGGTTGCAAGGTAGGAAACGTACTTTCTACCCAAGGTGCACTGAATCAAAGCCAGTTGACCCCAAAAAGCTATTTCAGCAAAATCCCTCTTCAGTGCACAGACTCAGAATCCCCATGTGGGAGAATAAAACCCAGAGTATCTTCACTTCACATGAAACCAAGCATTGAAGCTGGTCAGAAATTAAGTCTTAACAGCTCCAAGCTGAAAAGGCAGCAAATTAAAACACTAGTGGGGCAGATGCATCATTATGTTAAGGGAAAACTCCTGGTGAGGTTAATGGGGCTCTGCAGCCTCCTTCAAGGCAAGGATGTGGTTATGGGGATGGCCATGGCTGAGCCACCTTGCTGACGCAAGCGTGACACCAACACCTTCACACAGGGAAGATGGGATTCTGTAGTACTGCAGTGATTGGTTTTTCTTCAAAAAGGATTAATTGCTTCCTCCAGGCCACAGATTAAGCAAAAGCAGCGAAGTGAACTTCTAATATCCAAAACGATGTGTCTTGATCACATTGTTGCATTAAAAGGGCAAAACTGCCTCTTCTACCTTTAAATTAATCCTTCGTTTGAAGTGAAAAGCAAACAAAAGACATTTTCAGAGGCAGACGTGTATCAATTGCCAAGACAAGGAAGGAAAGGAATTAAATCCAGTGAATATGCAAGAAACGACTTCTTGACAAGGTTTAAAATCCAACGTGAAAATTTTACACTGGTTTCCAGCCATTTAAGACTTACTAGAAGGGAGTACAGAAAATGTAAACCATGTGTGCTGAAGTGCTGGGGGTTTGCTCAAGAGCAAGCAGGGATATATTATTGTTTAGACTGATTTATACCGTTTAAGCAGATCCAGTTTCTTTAAGATATTCAGCAAACAGCAGGA